GCCGGGCCGGGCCGGGTGCGGTGCCTCCCTGGCCTAGAGCCGAGCCCGCCGCGGGACGAGCTGCCGGCACCGGCCTGGCCCTGGGCCCCCTCCCTGGAAAGGATGGGGGGAAAACGGTCTCGTTCGGGCTGAGTTACGAAAAGCAGTCGGAGTTTTGGAAATCCCGGTTGGTTCGGCCGATTCCGGCCTGCCACCGGCGCTGGCACAGCTGCCCGGCGTGCCGCGGCAGCCCCAGCCCCGGGTTTCCCCCTCAGAAACCCACCAAAGGCTTGCACCGCCAGCCAAGCGACTGGTAACCCCAGGCGTATGTCAGGCAATAAGATGTACTTTAAAACTTACTAGTAAGACTAAAGGTAAGGTGCTTTCAGGCCTTTTTTCCCCGTTATGCTGTGGTGGCGTAGGTGTGATTTGAAGGTTGCTGTGTGTGAGCATTGCTTACGCAGTTAAGAGCTGGTATCTTCAAATTTCCTTACTGGCATCCCATAGAAAAGCGAAATTAAACAGCTTCAAGTCGTCAGATATTTAATCGGTGGTTGGAAGGCCTGCTAGGCCTCGGGTGGGTTAGTCAGGCGGCCGACACTCCTTGTGCACGGGGATGCCCTCAGGTATGAGACCATTCAGGCCCTGATGTTTTCAGAGAGGTGGAGGACGCTTCTGAATCAGCAGGAGCCGAGGTGTTGCCCTGCAGAGCCGTGGGGTGCAACGTGCTGGTTGTCCGAGGAGAGGAGCGGGCAGACGTTGAAGCATAAATGTTCCTTTTCGCCACTTACAACTGCAGCTCAGGCGTGCTGCCCCCTCTCAAATAGTTCGGCGCCTGCCAAGTACGTGATTTCCCGCTCAGAGGGGGCTTGTAATGCTTCGTTTCTCTAACGCGTTCGTTCCTTCTCCCAAACTCTTGGTGATTATTACGCAGGAGCGTTTCCACCCGCGCTGACGGGGAGTTAAGCGTTTTGTTGCTGGCCGTGGCGTGCAGCTCTGGGGTTCTGTAGGCTTCACTGTCGCGGACCTTTCGGTGTTCGAGGAAGAGCCGCTGGCACACTGTTAGTCGATGCCTGATCTCAGTTAATGTTATCGGCAGCGGTGGATTCGTCTACGACGTTTTCAAGCTCAGCGTTCGATCCTTCTCATTGGTTTTGTTTATGGGTGGGACATTTTACACAAGTGCTTTTCTACGTGTGGAATTGCTCTGTAGTAACCCTGCTTGTGGATGCTCATTCCATTTATCTGTTAACCTAGTATGCTTTAACGTACAATAATGCTGGGAAAAACTGCCCCTGTGAGGCATTATTTGGGAATAGCGATGGTGTTTTATTTATTTTTTGGCATGGGACTTTAATCTGAATGAACACCTACTTACAGGACAGCCCTCGGTGAAATTCAAACGTCAGTTAAGCTTCCTGTGTAGTTGTTTTATTTCTACTGCTTGCACCCTAGCATAGGCACGTTTGCGCACGGCTGGTGTGCTTGACTTCGCGGTACTGCCAGGAGGTCTTACGTGAGAACTTACTTTCTTGATGTCTGATTTTAAAACTGAATCTTAACTAAAGCCTTGTTTTCTTTCCAGGTTGGATGTAGAGTCTAAGCTTCTTCCGGGTGTCCCTCTAAAACGTTTTTTGTTTCTCCGCGTAATTCTCCTGATGGAAGACCAGCCGGGGTTCCCTTTCTGCTGTTCGTGCTGAATAGTGGCTTGGAGAGGTGGTGAATGAGTGAAGATACGCTCGGTGATGGTAAGGTTACATTTTGTCATGGTTTAATCTCAGTCGGCAACTAAGCACCACGCAGCCGCTCGCTCACTCCCCCCCACCCGGTGGGATGGGGGAGAGAATTGGAAGAGCACAAGTGAGAAAAACTCGTGGGTTGAGATAAAAACAGTTTAATAATTGAAATAAAATGATAATAATAATAGTATGATAATAATAATAATACACAAAGCAAGAGATGCACAGTACAATTGCTCACCACCCACCGACCGATGCCCAGCCAGTCCCCGAGCAGCGGCCCCCCCGGCCAGCTTTCCCCAGTTTATGTACTGAGCATGACGTCCCATGGTATGGAATGTCCCTTTGGCCAGCTTGGCTGTGCCCCCTCCCAGCTTCTTGTGCACCTCCAGCCTTCTCAGTCAGTAGAGCATGGGAAGGTGAAAAGTCCTTGGCTAGTGTAAGCATTACCTAGCAACAACTAAAACATCGGTGCATTATCAACTTTGTTCTCATCCTAAATCCAAAACACTGTACCAGCTACTAGGAAGGAAATTAACTCTATCCCTGCCGAAACCAGGACACATTTCAAGGCTAATGGCTTTTCTGTAGCCTTCTGTGAAGGCTCAGGCACCATATTGAAGGGCTCTGAGCCGACGAGCAGAAATTTAAAACTGCTTGGCTAGCTGCCAGAACGCACACAGGCAGTTTCCTCATCTCTTAGCCAGTCATACTGTTTTAATCGGCACCCAAAGACTTGCTGAAGTGCAGCTGATTTGGTTCTGCTGGAATACGGTGTGATGAGCAAGAGCTCCCTTCGCCCTAGTCTGGGGCAGCCGGTAGAAATTCCACTTCCTACACCCAGCTCCATATGGAAAAAACAGAAGTGCCACCTGGTACCTGAAGATGCAGGAGAAAACAAAGCTGGGTCAGGACGTTAAAAGACGTCAAAGCCCACCTTGATTTCTTAGGGTTTGGAGGGTGAGGGAATTGCCGGCTAAAAAGCTGCTCTGGTTAAATGAGAGCTGCCTTTTTGCAGGGGATGTGGTGAGTTAATTGGTAAAGTGCATCTTAAAAGCTGCTTAAAGTGCTGCTTAAAAGCAGCGTGCCTCTGTCTCCGTAATCCCCGCCTCCTGCACGGTTTCGCTGATCCCCAGGAGCAAAGTAGTGAGACGTTTAAGACACCCGTGCCAGTTAAACAGAAAGAAAATCTGAGGAAGGTTTGTTAAGTGAACAAGTTGCTGAGATACTTTGTGGAGTTTCTAGTGAGAAATCTCAGAACTACACGATTCGGAGTGGCTGCTGTCTTACGAAGCTGAGCAGATTAAACAAAATTAAGGAAAATGCTCGACTCTTTCCTTAATTTGATTTTTATTACGCAATTGGGGCTGGACGAGAGGGCCTCCAGAGGTCTCTTCCAACCTCAACTGTTTTGTGACTCTGTGATTCGGTGCTCAGCTGGGAGCATTAAACTGCTTAGTAAAAAGAGGGACTGTGCAGTTTCCAGAGACATCTGTTCTGCCTGTGACTGGGTTTTTATAGGCTCTTCACTAGCTTGTTGATGAAAGCGGCAAAGCACTGCGCGTGCTCTGTAGTATAGTACAGTGAAAATCCCAAACTCTCAGTCTGCGGTAGCGTGGCTCCATTGAGATGTGAACCACTTGCATTTCCCCCCCCCGTTTGAAACTTTACGACCGTGATTCCTGTTTATCTGTTTCTTCTCGTTCCTTTCCTAAGGTTCAAATGTGGGAATTGCCCCGGATGTGGCTGCTGCTGCTGCTGCCCTGGGAAAATGCCTTGATAGGGAATTAACACCATTCAGTGATGGGCTGTGGGACAAGCAAAGTGCTTCCCGAGCCCCCCAAAGATGTGCAGCTAGACCTGGTTAAAAAAGTCGAACCTTACACAGGCCACAATGACATATACAAGCATTTCATCAAAGATGACTGTGGGACTGTCATCAAAGCTGGCTCTCCCTCACCTCCGCGTCACGCTAACCCCTATCCTGGGAACCACCTCCCTGCCCACGTGGACCAGCCCGAACCCCGCAAGAACAAAGTGGCTAAATACCGCGCCAAATTTGACCCCAGAGTGACAGCCAAGTATGACATTAAAGCTCTGATCGGGAGAGGGAGTTTTAGCCGCGTCGTACGGGTGGAACACAAGGCTACCAAGCAGCCCTACGCAATCAAGATGATAGAGACCAAATACCGGGAGGGGAGGGAAGTGTGCGAGTCGGAGCTTAGTGTGCTGCGGCGGGTTCGGCACACCAATATCATCCAGCTTATTGAGGTGTTTGAGACCCAGGACCGTGTGTACATGGTGATGGAATTGGCGACCGGAGGAGAACTGTTTGATCGAATCATTGCTAAAGGCTCCTTCACCGAGAGAGACGCTACGCGTGTGCTGCAGATGGTATTGGATGGTGTGAAGTACTTGCATACGCTGGGTATCACGCACCGGGACTTAAAACCAGAGAACCTGCTGTACTACCATCCGGGAACAGATTCCAAAATCATGATTACGGACTTTGGGTTGGCAAGTGCTCGGAAGAAGGGAGATGACTGCCTGATGAAAACCACGTGTGGGACCCCGGAGTACATTGCTCCCGAGATCCTGGTCAGGAAGCCGTACACGAACTCTGTGGACATGTGGGCGCTGGGTGTTATCTCGTACATTCTCCTGAGCGGCACTATGCCCTTTGAAGATGACAACCGCACCCGCTTATATCGGCAGATCCTGAAAGGAAAATACAGTTACTCAGGCGAGGTGAGTGTGGCAAGGGTTATGGTGAGGGGAAGTCAAACAAGAAGCTCTCCGCAGGTGGGTCTTCGTGATGACCAGAAGCTGACTGTCGTGTGCAGGGTGGTAACGTTACCAGGGTTAAAAAAAAAATCTGTGATTCTGGCTTTTCAAATCCTTCCCTGTTTTCTGTCTGCTTTCAAAACTGCTTCCAGTGCAGCATAGCGAGCTCCTTTAAAAAATGTATACGTAGAGAAAGAAGAGATCTCTTCCTGTAGAATGGAACTGGGGTGCTTGTGGGTTTCTACCTGGGGAGACCTCAGCCGTGGCAAGCTGCTGTTTGACGCTTCACTGTTGAAACTCGTGCCAGGGTGAGTGTTTGAAACGTAGCGTGTACATACCTAGTCTGATTTCTGATACAAATCCAAGCGTAGTCTGAAAAATACCTTTGCCGAAAAACAAGGTTATGGCAGACAAAGGGGCACTTGCTGCTTAGATCTGCAGACGTGAGCATTTCTGAAATTGATCTGCATTGTCTCTTGAGCTTAGTATGTGACGAAATTGAGGGTTGGAGGATCATTTTCTTAGATAACTATGGAAAGAGGAACCTTGGGGAATAGATTTTAGGCAGAAGGTGGGTACCCCTACCCTCCCAGAGTCCCATCACTCCGCGGAATGGCCGGGTGCCAGGCTGACACAGCTCCTGCTGACTTGCTTCTGGTCGTGGTGGGAGATCTCGGTTACCAGCCAGCTCCTCTACCAGCACAATTGCCAAGTGTAGGCATAACCTCACTAAGAATCACACCTACAGAAAGTGGGGGTATCCAAATTCGCAAGTTGCGTTTCTGCCTGTATCTCTCACTGGAAATACTAAAAAATGAAGCTTTTATAACCTCTTCTCTCTTTAATAAGAGAGGAGAGTGTTTAGATTACCAAACGCCATGACTTTGTGAGATGAAGCCCACTGGGAAAGTGTTAATGAGTGGCTAAGTTTGATTCTGAAACAACAGTAAAATAACTGTCAAAAAACCAGAATAAATTAATGATTGTTCTTGTATTTTTAGGTGTGACAGGTATGTTGGCATTTTAATGATGGATGGAAGGAGTCTAACATTAAGTTTTTAAACATATTAAGCTGCTTTAGGATTGTGTTTTTTAAAAAAAATTAAAAAAATCACTCTCTGAAGGGTTTTCAGAGGTGTCAGTAAGTCTTTTATACTTTAAAGCTGTCAGGCCAGCTTGTGTTAATAGTTGGAATATCCAAATTAAATGAAACTGAGGAATATTGGCGTTTGCGTAGGAGGCCACTGAGGAGAGCCCAGACTTGACACCTTCGTGAATCTTGTTCATTCCTCCCGTGAGCGCTCCTCAACGTCCCTGGTATGCAGAGGAGACACAAAAGCGAGGAGTCATAAACCCCCAAATTTGGCACTTTCTTGACCAAGCGTGTTACTTCCTTCAGAAGCTGCAGTACTTGATTAGTTTCTTGCCAAAAGTATTCTGTCAGCTGCTTCCTCGAACTCCAAGCTTCGGCGGCCTTTGGCAGCCTTTGCTTCTTTTGTTAATTCGCCGTGTCAATATGATTTGTTCACCAGTTTGCAGAGTTTTAATGATGCAGTCGGGCTATCCTAATGCAGAAATAGATTGATTACCAGCAGCATGTAACATCTGCAGGGTCACACTGAAAGGCGAAGTCCTAGTTACCTCGTTTGCCTTGCAACCAGTGGTAGTAGATATGTTAAATGATTTTTCTCATGTGAAAAGGCCAGTTCACTCCGACGTTTGTGGTGTAGCAGAACTCATTTCAAGTGCGTGCACCTCCTTGCAGTTTCCCATTCAAGCAGCGGGTAGGTGCTGGTTTGGCTCGGCCTGGATGTTGGCCTCTAGACAGCAGATTTTAGAGCTTTCTAGATTCCTTGGCCAAACTCAGGTTTGGTCCGTTTTAGCTCACTCCATTGTGTTCGTCTTGGCCATTCGTTTTTCTCCTCTCCTTCCAGTTCTGTTATTTTGAAGAAGCAGTGTGGTGGGGTGGTTTTGTGCAAGTTCTCCCTTTTTTTTTTTGTTTTTATTCCCTAGTTCTGTCAGCCCCATGCCTCGAGGTGCCAGAAGGTCAGTGAGACCGTTGACTCTGAATTTGCTTCTTCCCGTTGGGGACCTGCTTTTATTCTTAATCTCTCTAACATGTTGTGATAATGAGTTCCATAGTTTATTTAAAAAACACATGGAAAAGCTGTTCCCTTCTCCTAGTTTTTATTTGCCTCTGCTCATTTAACTGGTGTTTTTCTATGTACATCTCTTTAATCCCCTTTACTTGAGAAACTAGCGAGTAATTTTTCCATGTCCACCTGTCCGTTACCTTTATACTTCTTCAGATTCCTTCTTTTTTTGAGGCTGAAGAGCCAACTGTGTTTAGTGCCTCCTATGGAATATATTCCATAGATCTGATTTTTGCTGTTACCCTTCTCTAGGCTACTTGTAATCTTTGAGACAGGGTGATGCGTGAGCACTGTGGCTTTAGAAGGGTCTCTCTGGTTGTTCACTGCTTCTTCCCGCAGGGTTTCTGATACTGTATTTGTTTCTTTGACACCTCTGAGCATTTGGCTGATGATGTAGGGAGTGGCCCACTGTGACTCCAGGAGGTTTCCTGAGTGTTAATAGCTGATTTGGGGATGTCGTGATGTCTGCGTAATTTGGTGCATTCCCTCTAATGTCTCCACCCCTCAATGCATGAGCTTGTGTTTAGTGACATTGAATTTTGTGACTGTCATTCAGTTTTGTCACTTGCTATTTTTACCTTTTTGCAGACTTTTTCATTGAGTTTAGCATGCTATCCAGGACAGGTTCTGCCCGTTACTGTGAAATGTGCTAATTTTGGAGTCTTAGAAGCAAGTGGTGGGATACAGGTTTGACACCCGATAACTGATGCTGATGATACTGAGCTGTTGAGGTTGAAAACAAAGCTGAGGCATGGTGCGGGAAGTAGTGAGAGACCGCATGATAAATTGGCTGATGTTCCGTGTGGACACACTCGACCCGGTCTCATGGGAGGACGAGCAGTTTGAATTTTCTGTAAATGATGGTGGGCCCTGGAGGTGATTCTTGCCCATCAGAAGAAACAATCTGAGGTTAAACACTTCTAAACCTCGTCTTGATACTCGGGATCAGAAGCCAATTGATATTAGGAATTAGCGTTACTATTGCAGGTGTCCTTGCTGTGCCATGCCCGTCATCCACCGGCACTTGAATGTTGAGTCCAGTTCTTTTTCCCCCTGAAAAAAAATACAGAATTAAAAAAATACAGAATTAATTCTGTATTAAAAATACAGAAGGGCAGCCTGAATAATCAAAGGTATGGGCTGGCTTCCATTTGAAGAACGAGTGAACGGACTAGGGCCCTTCCTCCAAAAAAGTAAGTGTTTGAGGGGGGGCCTCTGACCAAACTCAGTACAGCCAGAGGCAGAATAGGGGGAGCAAATAGAGAGCAACTGTTTTGAGCGTTCCCTGGGGTGATTTAATTTGATGTCCTCTGGTCCTTGTGCCAGAACTGAATTATTTTGAGAAATTTTGTGACTTCATTGCGACTAGGGCCACTGGATGCTGGTTGTGTAGGTTGTGTACACAAAGGTAGCACGTGTGCCGCAGAGAAAGCATTAGACTGTGTATTTTGAAAGTGCCAGTGCACAAGCCTGAAGCGTTTTACTTGTTGTCCCACCACAAATTGCATACTTTAGGAGGCTGTTACAGATACTGTGTGTGACATGAGTGGTTGTTTTGGAAAGCTGTAGATGTTTTACTGCTTGGAAAGCAAATAATGTCAGCCAATACCCTGTATGTTTTGACCAGATGCTTTCTGTTCTTCCAGACCCAGGGAAAATGGATGCTTTTGTTTACCAGTGTAATTAAGCCTATACCCCTAAATTGCGGGCGTGTTTGTAGCCAGGTATTGGCAAGAGATGCAGTAACACGCTGCCCACTTTGTGAGTAAATTCCAGGTGGAAACAAAGTGAGCCAGAGATTTAGAGGCTTGTGTCCGGCTTGTTTCCCACAACCGTGCCAGCTTTCTTAAAGCCATCTTCTGGACTTTTAAATGCTTCCAAATTTCTGATGTTCAGAGAAAATTGCTCTTCTTTTTTTGTGTTACACTGGAAGAAGTGGGAAGACGTCAGAAATGAGGCTGTTGGTAAGTTCCTCAGACTAATGGAAATGGCGGGAGCCGTAAGTCCTGGTTTATTTGGAACAAGAATGGGCAGAATACTGGACTGCATTGCAGAACTGTCTGTCTGTCTCTGATAGATGCAGAAGCAGAGATTTCAGGGGAACAACTGCTTTTCTTCTCTGTAATGTGAACTTTGAAGATGTGAAATGGAAGAGGAAACGTTAAAAGAAGCCTGCAAAGTAAAGTGCCCAGAGCTGACAGCTTGAGCTGCGCAGCTGAGACAGGTTTCACAGGGAAGGAGGGAGCCGTCTTCCGAACTGCATTGCCGTACCATGTCAGGCAGCAGCAGTGCCGCGAGTTTGCCGAGAATCGGTGCCGAGTCCCACTTTTTGAAAGGTCTGGCCTCAAAACCTGGTCAGAGGGGACAAAGCTGTACTGAGAGAGGAATAAAAGCCAAGATGCACGCTGACCTGAGAAGTAGCTCCATCTTCTTGAAAAACAAGTGAGCTCATGTCCAGCTAATGTAATTGCTTTCTGACTGGGACCCTCTTACCACCGCTCTCCTGTTCCTGGAGTGTGAGGTCTGTTTGAAGAGGCTATTAGCAGATCAATAGGAGAGGTCTCCCATAATAGCTTATTCAGGTACTGCTGACATCACCGCTCTGATTATCTCTTGTATCTCCTTCTGTACTTTCTGAACTGCCTGGAGTAATGGATAGGGTGAGGAATGAAGAAAAGCTGGCTTTGTAACTCGGCATGCTTTTTTCTGAGCATCTCTGAGTAAGGGTTACGTGGGCTATTGAGACTGCATTTGATGTAGCCTGCTACAAAGTCATTCTCTTTCACTTGTTTTGTTAGAACTCACTAAAAA